AGAGAGAGAGAGAGAGAGAGAGAGAGAGAGAGACAGAGAGAGAGAGACAGAGAGAGAGAGACAGAGACAGAGACAGAGACAGACCGACAGACTTCTCCCCACCATGAACAAAACTCCGAAAATAAGTCTGCTAGGCTGGGGTCTTTGCTGCTAGCCTACCTAGCAGTGTAGTGCATGCCTGTCCTGGGGTCACATCCACGATGCTCTGAGTACTTGCCCCACCTGGAGTGAGGATGAGGGGCAGAGAATCTGGTTCAGATCCCAATTCTACCCAGGGTTTAGCCCCAGGCAAGTCCTGAGGACGTGAGCTCAACCTCAGGGATCTTTGGCCACCTTCCCCCGCCGGGAGGAGACGGGCATCCCGGGGCCCAAGGGTCAGAGGTCAGCGTTTTGGTCCTACTCCCAGCTCCACCACGGGCTCCCCAGGACCAAATTCCTTCACACGTGAAAGGCTCCCAGGAGCCGGACCCTAACCACCATCGAGATTCTTCCGTTTCCACATAAGTGTGTCTCTGGGGATCCGGGACAGATGGGTCACTCCGCCAGCAGGCACCCGGTTCGGCCCGGCGCGCCGGTGACTGACAGACGCAGATGTTTCGCCGGGCGCAGGCCGCCCTCGCTCCCTCCCTAGCGCGCGCCTCCCGCCGGCTCCCTCCTTCCTTTATCTTATCAAAGCCCCGTAATTACAATTGCTATTTTGTTTCCTCGAATCTGCAATCAGAGCTCCCGGGCCAGAGGAGGGAGCGCCTGTCAACCTGATCGCTGAGCGAGACAGCCCGGCCACCTCTGCCGGCCGCGCCACGCCGCACACGCACACGCACACGCACACGCACACACGCTCCTTCCTCCCCAGGGAACGCCAACACGCACTCTCGTGGGCACGGACGGCCGCTCGGGTCGGCCGGGCGCACCCCCCGCCCCAGGCCAGTTAGCAGGCTGCGGAGGCTGCGTCCGCGCGGCGGCGCCCGGCGCTCAGGGCGCCCCCCGCTGTGCTCCGTGTGCAGAAACGTGGGCGGGGAGCGAGCGCAGACAGCGCCCAGCCGCGCTCGCGGCCGCCGCGTCGGGCCGCAGATTTAGGGAGCAGGGGCCGATGTGGATTGGGCGCTCTCCGCTCCCGCTCCCCCGGGGTGCCCCGCGAGGAACACAATGGGGAGAGCCTGGGGCGGAGCCGCGCGGGTGCTGTCGAGCGGTGGACAGGTGACTGGACGTGGCTGCGCGCGTCCGGTCAAGCCAAGCGCGAGCCAGAGACTTGGCTGCTGCGCGCGAGGGCGTAGGGTCGCCCAGTTCCTCCCTCCCGTCTTTCTCGCCCAGCGCACGCTGGCCGGCGAGCCTAAGTGATTTACCCCCGCGCCGTCCGCGTACGCAGAGCCGCCGGGTCCCTGTCGGGCCTCGCAGGCCCCTTTCACCTGAGTGCCCTGCCCTGGCTGGATTAGATTCTGCGGCCCCGCAGCCTGGGGCGCGGGCCCGCCGTGAGCGGTCGGTTCCAAAGTCGGCTACTAGGGGGCGCTAGCCCCTCCCTGTGGTCCCTCCCGATCCCGACGCAGTGTTCCCGGCCCAGGCCCGGCTGGTAGTGCAGGACCCTGATCACTGCCACACAGAGGGCACATCTCCGTTTGTACTCAACTCGAGGACCACGGGCACGGGGGGCGGACAATGCTTTTCCTTACTGTGGGACCCTCTCTTCCAAGTCCTCAGCCACACCAAAGCTACCCTTCGGCCTTATCGGGGCCCCTCCTCCCTGCCTACTCACTTGCCCAGCCCTGCTCTCTGTCCATCCGCAGCCTGTCTGGCCCCAGACTGCCGGGGGAGGTACTGTTTTGTTTGTTTGTTTGTTTGTGGACCACTGACACCCCCTATCAACACAACTGCTGAACTGCTGACCCCAGAGCAGGTCCCAGGAGCTCTTGATCACACAAGCACACCCCTCTTCTCTTGTTCGCTGTAGCAGAAGCCAATACATCTCAGGACCCGACTCCAGCACAGAGACCCCACACCGGGTGGTGGGCTGGGGGTGGGCACTGTGGGCCAGGAGGCTGATTCCCAAGGGCTCTTTTCTGCCCCCATATGCCAGGCCACCAGGATTTTGGTTTCTTGTCACCCAATCTGGCCAATCCCCTCCATCTGGCCCTGGGAGTCAGGTTTCTAAGGGCCCAGTCTGAAAGACTAAAGGAGGAGCAAAGAGCGGTCCGGGCCACCTCTCCCGGGCCCTCTCTGGGCTGGGGATGCACATTCCTCAGGCTGCTTAAGCCCACTTATCTGCCCCCTGCCCATCAGCCTGAGTGCTGACAGAGGCCCAGACTCCTTGTTTGGACGCTGATAACCTCCTGGACGGACCCCCACCCCCCGCAGGGGCTGGGAATGAGCAGGGCTAGCGAGAGCCCCTCCAACAAGGCACCTGGGGCCCTGGGGGCTGCCAGGTTCCCTAGTCCTTCACCAGGCCCCAGATCCAGGACCCCTTTATGCGGCCGTAGTGCCACCTGGTGGTCCCTAGGGAAACATCACCCGAGCACAGGAGAAAGGCACACAAATGAGTTGCAAAACAAAACCTATCACTTTATTTCAAACTTTACCTAAAACTGTAAAAAGTGTTAAAAATGTGTGGTTATTAGTTTCAAATTCAACTTCCAATTCACAGGCAAGTGACGAGGGAGGGTCAAAGTCCTTCCTATTGTACAGGTAAGGGGAGCCGGCGGTGGGGGGCCAGCATTGGGCCGAGTCCCTCCCCCCAGAGCGCTCCTTTTCAGCGGAGAAGAAACATTTACAATCTTGAAACGTGTCCAGGAACGCCGGGCATGAACACGTAGCAGGCAGCTTCCTGACCTGAAAAAGGGAGACGGCTGTGCGTCCAGGCTCTCCCCGCAGCCCAGACCCCAGACCCGCGGGGCTCTGATCCTGGCACTCACCACAAAGGGCTAGGGCCTGGGCCCCCTTTTTTTAGCGGGGAGGACGGGGCACAAGTCCGCTGCTTCTTCCTCCTCCTCTTCCTCAGAAACATCATTGCTTAAAGTAACTGTGGGACACGCGTGCAGGAGAGAGGCGTGGTTAAAGCCAGGCCTTCTTTACACCATGCCACTTACTGCTGCCCTGCGTGCTACGCCGGGAGCGACGCCTGCTCAGAGAGCACAGCGCAGCTGGGAAGATGCTCAGGTACTGCGCGAGGTGTGCGTGTGGGGAGAGCCGAGGGAGTCCACGGCCCCTGGGCTGGAGAAACCGGCAGGCAGCGGGGCGCGGGAGGCTCGGGTGGGACGGCGAGGAGGGCGCCCGCTGTGGAGGGGGACACTGGCACTGCGCAGGAGAGGCAGGGATGAGGAAGGCCGGCGGCCCGCCCCTCCTCTCACCAATCTGGTGCCGGCCGGTGATCCGCACCGGGCCGGAGCCCGACTTCAGGCGGAAGGTTACAGGCGGCTGGAGCTGGAAGTCATCCAAACTGAGCATGGGCTGGCACGACAGCCGGAGGTTGGCCACGGGGACCGCGATCTCCTGGTGGGCGTGGTTCCGGGCCACCACTTCCACCACGTTACACTCGTCCTTGGCTCTTTCGGTCAGGCAGAGCTGGGAAAAGAGCACGGGAGCGCGGCCTCAAGGTCTCCCCTCTCGCAGGGCTCACGCCCACAGTGGACACGCGGCTAGCACGCGGCCGGCCGCCGAAATGCGGGTCCGGCCGGCGCCCCGGGCCGCCCGAGCCGCGGCTCACCATGGTCAGGGCCAGCACGTGCTCCGCGTCGTCCTCCTCCTCAGCTCGGAAGGTGAAGGAGCGGGTGTGGCTGGAGAGCTCGCAGCCTGCGAGGAGACAGGGGCAGCCGCCCGGGGTGGCTCGCGTGCGCGGAAGCGGCGCGGTCCCACCGCGTCGGGCCGGCTGCGCGCGGGCAGGCCCCGCACGTGCGCCAGGACGCCCGCGGCTCCGAGCCCTGCGCACGCCAGCGCCGCGGCCCTCCCTCCTTCCGCACCCCTCCCCAGTACCGAAAAAGAAGCTGTCCATGGTGACCGGGGCCGGGACCCGCAGGCCCCGGGCGCCCCCGACCCGGACCCGGCTCTCGGAGCTCAGGAACGCCGCGGCGGCGGCCATGCTGCGAAGCCGTCCTCTAACCCCACCCCAGCGTGCGGGCCCGGCAGCTTCCGGCCACGCCCCTTAAAGGGCCGACGCTGGGGACGCCGTAGACCACAGAAGCAACTCCACAGCGGACTGGGACTTGGGTACACGTGAGAGCCTCTTCAGCTCACCGCCTCCTCTATAGTATGCACATCTAGGACAGGCTTTCCTTAAAAGGGGTTCGTTTACCTACAAGTGTCCTCTTCTTTCTGCAGTCTTTCACCAAGGCAGGGTTCAGACTTCTGATGCTAGGGATTGATCCCAGGGCCTTCATATTGAACCACACATACTGAGTCCATCGCCAGCCCCTGCCCTTAAAATGCTGAAGTGGGACTCAGAATTCGTGAACTTTCTGCCTCAGCCTCCCAAGTCTGGGTTGGGCCACCACACAGGGCTGCTTATCAAAAAGAATGCTAGGATTCGCTTGTGGAGCCCACGGAAAAAATTTGGACTCCATGAATTTTAACCCTGTCTTCCTGCTTCCTTGCAGTATGACCCTGACCCCGCAGGATTCCTATGGTGCTCCTCCACTCTCCATCCACCTGGCCGGATGGCAGGATGCTGGTGCTAGTCAGGTCAGACGAAGAACGGGACCGCTAGTCCTGGCAGATCTGTTTTTTTAGCTTCTAGTTTCAGATCAGAACATGCTTGTGTTTTTAAGTTCTATTTCACACCACTTAAGTCTTTCCACAGAATCAGGCAAACCGCATTTGCTATCCCATGAGATAACTGAACTTTTCAGGGTAATGCCCTATCATCCACTCAAGTTGTAACTTGAAAAGGAAGGCTTAAATAAGAACTAGTCCATTTTTCTTCTTCGCTTTTGCCTTGCTTTGAGGAAAAAGGAAATTTCTTTACTGGGCCCAGGAACAGGGGAAGGCTGCCTTCAAGACCCAGCCTAACTTGCTCGGGGGACAGACAGGAAGTAGGCACACACAGTACAACAGCACACACATTCACTTCAAGTTTTATTTTGCCTCTTACATGGTCTTCAGATAGTTTTACAGTTTGTATTCTATAGGGACTGAACTGCGATCTAAACAATGAAACATCCCAACCTTAATAAATACTCATAACCATGGAAATAGCATAGCATTTTACAATCCTAGAGTGATGAAGCTTTAAGTATAGAGCTGGACATCTGTTCCACATTTTAATCCATGTGATAAGACCAGTCCAAGTAATTAAAAGCCAAGATAAAACCAAAAAGAACTTGTTTAAAAATCCTGATCCCATGAGACTGACCTCAAAATGCTCCAGATAAAATAACGCTGTAGGATGTAGACTACTAGTGCTTGGGATACGGAAAGTGAGTAACATTCACCTGTCTTAAACATCATTTAGTGGGTGTCTTCCCTTCATCTCAGCCCTGAAAACTGTGAACTTGGTCTCAGCTTTGTAACACAGCACATCCTATTAGGTAGATTTCTACCCTAAGAACAGTAACCTCTTTCTCCTCACCAGTTCAACACTCTCCTAAGCCTTGGTTGGAGGTCAACTAGGTACAGTGCTTTAAGGCTGTATGAACACCCACAGCTGGGCAGTTCCACAAAGGAAGACAGTTCAATTTTCCTTCTCCTTGTTCACAGAGCGCCAAGCTGAACCAATGTGCAAAGCTGTAGGTAAGCAAAGTAACAAAACACTGATACAAATCTATGGAGAAGTCAGCCAGCCATGATGAAAAAACTGATTCCTGTAGAGATTATCTGCCAGCCTCATGCTCAGAACCCTTGAAAAACACCAAATCTAAATTAAAATACATGAAGCTTTCAAATCTGTGATTCAAGAAAAAAGAAATGGGTAGCCATAAAGTATGCTCATTCTTTTAAAAATTAAGATAAATCATGCAAGTATTAGACTGATTTAGTTAAACCAGTAATCACAGGTGTAGAAATTAAGATACCTGATACAAGAGCAAATGAGACCATCCAGTTCCCCTCCCTACTTGACAGATGTTCAAACCAACACTGCACACACTGATCTGCTGAGATTATTTTTCAGAAGCAACTTCATGCTGCCACAAATTGAGTCCTATGAAATGAGGCTCTCGTACTCAAGAGGGTCATGGCCTATCCCTACATGGGAAACATAAAGAATAAAGCTTCTCAAGAAGAGAAAGAAAGAAAATCCAACTTCTAATTTACATTATTCAAAGTGCCATCCTGAACCACACCTTCTCATTTCATAAAGAAAAAAATTACAAAAATGGTCAACAAAAGATAATCAGGTTAATAGCTAATTTATATACAAAGGAATTTACAAATTTATCTATTTTAGGCTTTTGCCAAGAACAACTGCACTGTCCCTACCACGTACAACATGCCCAAGCCAATGGTTGCTGCAGGAGACAACTGGCCATGGCTTTACAAAAAGCAAAACATTGCCCCAAACTGCCAACACTTACTCAGCTTCAACTAATGCCACACCATCACCCAACTGGGAAACTGGGAGCATTCAGCCGCCAAGTCTCTGAAGCCCACTAAGTATTTCTCTCACCTCTGCTATGTCTCCAAAGAATGAGACATTTAATAAGCCATAGATGACAGAAGTAATTCTGATTCTCTTAGGCGAGAAATCCAACCACACTGGATGCAGAAAATAGTGCTGACTACATTTATTCAAGACCCTTCTCCCTAAAGAATCCCACGTAGGAGATCTTGGTACCCGAGATGAGACACAAAACCCAAAAGAGCAGCCCAAATCTGTTTTATACAGGACTTGCAACAATACTATCTTCTTCCAGCCAGAGAGTGGTCTCAATGTATGATGGGTGAACTTTACACAGTCTTGTTTCCAATTCAATGGTTAATTCATTGCTGCTCCGGACGCTGAACTGTCTGAAGACCCCCAACTACCAACAAGGTGGAATTAAGACAGTCCACAGTGACATCAAATGTCACAGGCTCCGACCAAGTATAACCACATCCTTTGGAAATCCTTCCATTTTTGCAATTTCAAAACAGCCTAACTTGCTGTAGAACTCGAGAATTCTTTTATCATCTGGTCTCACTTCACAGAAAGCCCCGCGGGAGCCTAGAAATAAAAACATTCAAAACGGAAATGTCTATTACCAAAACGAATTATGTATAAATTGTATCAAATTTATACCAAATTCTGAAAGTTATTAATAATATTAAAAAATGATTTAAATTCTTCCCCCCAAAGCAAGTCTTTTGGGATATAAGTGTAAGAAAAGGTCCCAGAACTTTGGAGACTGAGGTAGGAGGATCCCCATAAAATTGGAGGCCAGCCTGAACTATGTAATGAGACGTTATCTTAAAAAAAGAAAACAAGGTACAGCATACAATTTTTCAAAATAAAGTGCCTTTTAGGGGCTTACAGGGCACATATATTCTAAGCCTATATATTCTAAGACAAATCTCATTTATTTGTTGTAATTTTAAGACATTTGTGTGTGTGTATGCAGGGTCTCACTACACAGCTTGGACTCACAATGATCCTATTTTCAGCCTCCCTAGTGCTGGGATTACAGGTGCATGCCACCATGCCCGTACTCCATCACCACCTCAGCAAGCCCGCGAGGTGGGGCTGGCATGGTGTGTGGTGCCAGGGATTGAACCCTGGCTTCTGTACTGGCCTAAGCAAGTGCTTGGCCTGCTGAGCTATCTTGCTGGCCCAGACTTATTTTTTCTAGCCAGACATGTCATCCTAACACTCAAGGAGGAGGCTGAGCAGGAGGCAGCTGAGGCAGGAGGATACAGCAAGTTCAAGGTCAGTCGGGGCAACATAGTGACTTCAAAGCCAACCTAAACTACAAAGTGAGATCTAACTCACCTGTTTTTCCAAATTATCTTTCTAGCTGGGCATGAGGACACACAGCTGTAATTTCACAAAATAGGATGGTGGCGAGTTTTAGTCCAGGATGGGCAATGGGCAACTTAGTAACTTCATGAGACTATCTCCAAAAAAAAAAAAAAAAAAACGCTGGCACTATAGCTCAGTGCAATCCAAAAAAAGGAAAAATGAAAAAAGAAAAAACAAAAACAAAAACCCTTCTTAAAGTTAAATTATTCCATCAAAGGATAAAGGAAAAGCAATGTAAATGATGAAAAGACACAAGAATAAATGAGGGGCATTTTCTTCTTTCTGGTACCAGGGATCAAACTCAGAATCAAACTGCAGGCCCTTATGCTGCTGAGCTATCTCCCTGGCAGAATGAGAGGCATTTTTTATGGATCAACAACTGTAAGGCTTCGTAAACTAGTTAAGTTTTGTAAGGCCTGAGGGTTAAAAAAAAAATTTTCTTTTTGCATCTTTAAGGGATTTATTTAAAAAGAAAATATGGAGAAACCATCGCTCTTCCTCTTTCTGTGAGCGGCCTTAGGAGACCTGTGAAAATGGTTCACTACTCTCTTGAGCCAGAAAACCCCACAAAATCATGCAAATCAAGAAGCTCAAATCTGAGCTCCACTCCTTCGACCTCTGCCGCCGCCGCCGCCGCCGCCGCCTCGCGGAAAGAGAGGAAGCAGGAGAGGAGCCCACGTCGCCTGTCACCTACATCCTCCTGCCGCGCCCCTCGGAAGACTAAAATGTTCGCCTGCGCCAAGCTCGCCTACACCCCCGCTCTGATCCGAGCTGGATCCAGAGTAGCATACAGACCAATTTCTGCAGCAGTGTTACCTCGACCAGAGGCTAGGACTGGAGAGGGCTCTACAGTATTTAATGGGGCCCAGAATGGTGTGTGTCAGCTAATCCGAAGGGAGTTTCAGACCAGTGCAATCAGCAGAGACATTGATACTGCTGCCAAATTTATTGGTGCAGGTGCTGCAACAGTAGGCGTGGCTGGTTCTGGGGCTGGTATTGGAACAGTCTTTGGCAGCCTTATCATTGGTTATGCCAGAAACCCTTCGCTGAAGCAGCAGCTGTTCTCATATGCTATCCTGGGATTTGCCTTGTCTGAAGCTATGGGTCTCTTTTGTTTGATGGTTGCTTTCTTGATCTTGTTTGCCATGTAACAGAAATTACTGCTTGAAATGTTGGCACTCATAGTAATTACGGATATAATTCTGTGTATTTTACTGTGACTCTGAAAACTGTAGTGTTGGTGTCATGGAAATGTACATTATTTCCAAATTCATTTCATTAAAGATGAAAACTTTAAAAAAAAAAAAAAAAAAAAAAAAAAGAAGCTCAAATCTTCGTGTTCACTTTAAGAACATGCATGAAACTGCCCAGTCATCAAGGGTGTGCATATCCAAAAGGCCACCAAGAGTCTGAAGGATGTCACTTTAAAGAAGCAATGTGTACCATTCCAGCGTTACAATGGTGGAGTTGGTAGGTGTGCCCAGGCCAAACTGGGGCTGGACACAGGGTCAGGGGCCCAAAAAAAGTGCTGAATTTTTGCTGCACATGCTTAAAAATGCAGAGTAATGGTGAGCTTAAGGGGTTAGATGTAGATGCTCTGGTTACTGAACATACCCAGGTGAGCAAAACACCCAAGATGTGCCGCCGTACTTACAGAGCTCATGGCCGGATTAGCCCTAGTGAGCTCCCCTGCCACACTGAGATGATCCTTACTGGAAAGGAACAAACTGTTCCTAAACCAGAGGAGGAAGTTACACAGAAGAAAAGGATATCCCAGAAGAAACAAAAACTTATGGCACAGGAGTAAATTAAGCATAAAATAAATGCAAATAAATTTTTTAAAAAGAAAATATGTAATGAAGACCATATGTAGACCTTAAAGAATAAAACATTTACTACCTGGCCCCCTTCAAAAAAAGTTTTCAGACCACAAGCACAAGGGCCTGAGTTCAATCCCCAGTTCCTCCGAACAAAACAAAGCATTTTTGAAGACTGAGTTTAAGTAACAAGCTGTTACACATCACGTTCCTGAGTAAAGTTTCTTCCTGAGCAGTATTCTTCTATTTTTGAAGTCTGGGTGACTAAAGCCAGGAAGCACTGAAAACTACACATCCTTGACCACCGGCCCGCCCCCTCAAGTGCAGTCGCCCAGGCTGGCCTCTAACTGGCATTGCTCTTCACTCTGCCTCCCTAGAAGCTGGGCTGACAGGTGCGCACCACGCCACACCTGCCCAGGCACTTTTCAAGGTTAATACACAAGGGCTTCTTACATCACTGGTAATTCAGAAAGAGAAACTGAGCGTAGTGGCATGACACATGGCTGTAAGTCAGTTACTTGGAAGGCTGAGAGGAAGATCACACAAAAGGTCGAGGCCAGGCTGAACAACACACACACACACAGTGACATTTATTTTTATTTATTTATTTATTTTTGGCGGAACCGGGGATTGAACTCAGGCCCTTGTACTTGCCAGGCAAGTGCTTATTCTACTGAGCCATTTCCCCAGCCCCTACAGTGACATTTAAATCACAATTTTCTTCTTTTTTTTTTTATAGCCAAAATACAGTCCTTACCCTTTCCTTACCCAAACAATGCCAAATCTAGATATACACTCACCATTAGCCTTCAACGAAGACAGGAGGCAAGCCATCATACTTTTAGCCACACTTGGGTCAGTTACTTTTTTGTGAATATCCATCTTTATCAGAGAAGGGAAATTGGCAAGAAAAGTTTCTGGCAACACTTCCTGTTCTTCATGGAAACTCAACATTATTTTCTGGAAAAAAAAAAAAAAAGAATCTTTCAAATTTTGACAATTATCCATTATTAAGAGTATGTATCAGGGCTGGGGAGATGGCTCAGTGAAATAAGCACTTCCCTGGCAAGCGCAAGGCCCTGAGTTCAATCCCTGGTTCCGCAAAAAAACCACAAAAAACAAAAAAGAGTATATATCTATGCTCAGGAATTCAGTAACAGGAATGGGAAAGCAAGATTTACTAAGTCTTCCAATCATTACTTATGGAACAATTTACTAGCATATAATTCTTTCTAGCTGAAGGGATTTTATTTTTAGTACGTTTACCTGGGGGAGGTTGAGGGAATATGTTCAGTGGTATAGCACCTGGCTACCATGTACCAGACGCTGGGTTCAATCCCCAGCAAACATAACAAAAAAAGCATGCATGTATTGTGGTAAACTGGATTGGATCTCAGAATAAAGGACACCAGAGGAAGAAACAGTAAAATCTGTAATTAATACTAATGTACCAAGGATGGTTTCTCAGACTTGATGTGCAAAATAGAAAAGGGGTTTGGAAGAACTCTGTATTAACTAAGTTTTCTGTAAATCTAAAATGTATTTATTTATTTTATTTATCTGGTACAGGGTCTCACTACACAGCTCAGACTCGTAGTGATCTAGAATTTATTTGAAATTATATACTATTTTGGCCAGGTGTGGTGACACATATCTGTAATCTTAGCACTCAGGAGGCAGAAGCAGAACTGTGAAGAGTTCAAGGTCAGCCTGAGCTGCACGATGAGTTCAAGGCCATCTGAATTACACAGTGAGACCCTGTCTCAAAAAAATCAAAAATAATTCTTAAAAATTTAATGTACTACTTAAACAACCAACATACTTAACACTATTGTATACACTAAATGGTTAAGGTTAGCCAGTTGTTAATTCCACCCCCTTGGGAGGCCAAAGCTGTAGGATCACAAGTTTAATCCTAATGTGGACAACTCAGTAAGATCCAGTTTCAACATAAAATAAATAAAGGGCTGTGATACAACTCAATATAAAGAGGAGTATTAAAGAGAGGGACCAGTGAGATAGCTCAGCAGACTAAGCACCTCCTCTGGCAAGCACAGGGACCAGGATTCCATCCCCAGTCCCGCATGCCCCCAGGGTGCGCTGAGCTGGTTACCAGAGTCCCGGCATGGTGGGGCACCCAGCACTAGGGAGGCTGAAAACAGGAGGATCACCACAAGTCCAAGCTATGCAGTGAGACCCTGTACCAAATACACAAGAATGGAAATAAAAACAAGACTGACCAACCGACCATATATTTCAACACAAATTTTAAACACTCTGTAGCCTGTGATCCCAGCACTTGGGAGGCTGAGGCAGAAAGAGCCACAAGTTTGAAGGCAGTCTGGGCTACATAGTGAGATCCTGTCTCAAAAGCGAGAGAGCAGGCTGGGGAGATAGCTCAGCAGTCTAAGCATCTGCCTGCAAAGTGCAAGGACCCACATTCAATCTCTGGTATTGCATGCTGTGCTGGCCCCAGAACCCAAGCATGCCATGCCAGCCCCAAAACTGGCGTGATAGTGCGTGCTTGTAATCCGGATTACAGGCTGAGAAAGAGGCTGAGAAAGGAGGATCACTACGAGCCTGAACTATGTGGTGAGAACCTATATGCAGTAAATAAATACAAACAAAAACAAAAAACCCCCAAGAGCCCTTGATTAGCATTAGCCTGTGCAAGGCCCTAGGCTCAGTATCTGGCACTATTTTAAAACAAAAACCTTGTATGCTGAGTGCAATAATCTAAGTTACTTGATAGACTTAATCAGAAAGATCACAGAGGTCAACTTGGGTAATTCAAGACCTTTCTCAAAATAAAACGAGCTGGTGATGTAGTTCAGTATACAGCATCCTTGGTTCAATTTCAATCCCCATATTGTAAAAAAAAATGTTTGCCATACAACGAATACAATGTAATAATAGCTACAATAAAAGTGAACTTTGTATAATCCCATTATGAAAACTGTCAGGTGTGTAATAGCAGCACACCCACAGCTTAGGCAACTGCAGGCTACACTGTCTGTGCCACTTCAAGGAAGACAGGACACACCAAGCCAGCTTTCTATTGCAGCCACTGAGCTCATGGAAGGAGGCGAAAAGCAGTGCTTAAAACAACAGAAGAGAATGCCTTTGAGTGGGGAAGAGAATTTTAGAAGAGAGAAAAAGAGCATGGGAAAGAAAATACGTCATAAATGATAGCCCAAATATACAACTAAAACTATTTACTAAACCTAAAAATTATCCTCAAGAAGGAAACTTTTAAATATATACTGATTGGGCCAGGGAGATAGCTCAGTAGAATAAGCGCCTACCTGGCAAGCACAGGGTCCTGAGTTTAATCCCTGGTACCGCGCTTCCCAACACACACACACACACACACACACACACACACACACACACACACACAGATTACATAAAGAAAACCATAAGCTAACATGGAGTACACAATACATTTTTACAGGAAAATTCATTTAAACAGGACATCAAGAAAGCAAATGTGGGGTTGGTGAGATGGCTCAGTGGTCTAAAGCACCTACTTAAAACAAGCTTAGCAAAGTACAGGGACCGAGGGGCTGGTGAGATGGCTCAGTGGTCTAAAGCACCTACCTAGAACAAGCTAAGCAAAGCACAGGGACCGTGGTTCAATCCCCCAGC